CTGTTGCCTTTTCTGTATGGGCCGTTTCGGCAGCCTGGGCTCAGTGGGTTTGATTAAAAACACCTTCTGGTGGGCCCTTTGCCTGCCCAGCCCCCAGAAGGGGTTTTCAGCTTTTCCTCCAGTTCCCAAATAACAGTCCCTGAGAGTCTTATCCTTGTAAAATCCTCCTGTGAGCTGCTCTCCCTTCCCCCTCAGGACTATGCCCTACGGGTGTGTCTGGGGCTTCAGTGAGCGGGACCTGCCCCTTTCCTGTTGGAGCTGTTGCTCCTAGCTGCAGGAGAGGCCAGCGGGCTCCACCCCTCCCTGTTCAGCTCTGGTTGGCTGGTCGCACCAGGCCCGCCCTTCAGACCGTCTTCTTTGCAGACCCCAACCCCAGCCTCTGCTGGTCTGTCTGTTCAGTGAACACTGGGAAGGTGGGAACCAGTTCCGCGCTCTAACTTGCAAAGGCACAAAGCAACACACAGGCAGAAAGTCTGCCCTGCCAGTTCCTGCTGCCCACGCACCAAGGCACCTAGCTGGAGGGGACCCAAAGTCAGCTCCGTGCAGCTCCCTGCACCGCTGGTCTTAGCAAAGCTGGAGCAGCTTCAAGTGCCACCACAGCGCCCCTCAGGGCTTGTCATAGATCCCAGCCTCCCAGCACCAGGAGCTCAGAGCAGAGAGGGCTCCTGCCCTCCCCTACGCCACGCAGATTCAGCGCTTTCTTGGGCTCAACACAATGTCCCACAGGGAGGCAGAGGGTCCCCGTGTGTAGCTGCTCAGCGCAGTCCTCTGGCCCCTTACCACTTGGGTGCCACAGACCTTGGGACAGCCTTCCCTATGGTCAGCACCCCGAGCACTAGACGCCTGTCACATCCGCCACTAGAGGCTTTGTTTCCTAGGAAGGCACCATCCACCATTAGAGGCTTTGTTTCCTAGGAAGGTGCAGTCCCCTCTGGTACTCACCGCTCCCCTGGGTCCCTCTGCCCTGTACGCAGGGAGCTCCTTCCCGTCTTGTTGCTCTGGGTGTGGGATCCCCGCTTTTGGATGCCATCTGCACTCCCGAGGGGAGGGAGCTTTGTAGCCTCCAAGCTTCTGGGCTCAGAGCCCAGCACAGGCTTCTGGGGGACTCCCCCTTCCTCCACCCCCCCCCTCTTACCGGACTCCGTGATGTTTCTTCAGTGCTCCCCACTCGCACTCCGTTCACTCAGGTATGTTTCTCTGGTTTTTCCAAGCTGGTTACATAGGATTTTAGGAGTAAATCGAGTCCGTGGCTGGGAGCAGGGGTGCTCCGCTGCTTCTCACAGTGCCGCCATCTTCCCTGTCTATTTTTTATCTATTCTGCCACCTTATGTATTTTGACTTGATCATTTAGCCAATTTACATTTAAAGTAATTATTTATAGGTATATGCTTTTTTTCCACTTTGTTCACGGTGTTTTAAGTTGATTTTGTTGTGCAGTGTTCCTTTCCTCTTATCTTGATCTCTTTTCTTTTGATTTTCCTGGGAATTTTTTAGTGTTTTGTTAGGTTTCTTTCTTATTTTTTTTTTTTTCTGTATTTTGGTAGGTTTTTGGTTTGTGGTTACCATAATGTTCACATATATATATCTTTATCTCTGGCAGTCAATTTTAAGCTCAAATACATTCTACAAGGACTATATTTTTATTCACCCTCCATACTTTATGTTTTGACATCCTGTTTGATAATAAATTTTTGTTTTGTGTATCCCTGACTATTGTAGTTATATATAATTTTTCTATTTCTGTCTTGTAACCATAATATTAGCTTTTAAAGTGGATGATATAATGTATTTATTATATATTTCCCTTTATCAGTGAGATTTTGTTCTTCTCTGCATTTCCTTATTTCTGGTTATAACCTTTTGTTTTCTGCATAAAGAAGACCCATTAAAATTTCCATTAGAGAGGGAAGATTGTGGCATTCTAACAAGAAACAGAGCACCCTTTCTCCCAGCCACTGAGTCAATTTACCACTAAAATACTGTGTAAAAAGCTTGGTAAAACAAGAGAAATATACCTGAGTGGACATTTTGCTAGTAAGGAGCACTGAAGAAACATCACAGAGTGCGGTAAGAGAAGGGGAATAGAAAGGGAGAGACAGCCCTGAAGCCAGTGCTGGGCTGTGAGCCCTGAGTATTAAAGGCTACAAAGTTTCCTCCCCTTGGGAGTGTGGAGTGGGATCCAAGAGCTGGTATCTCAAACCCAGAGTGGAGGAAAAGGGAAGGACTGCTCATGCACTGTGATCAGAAGGAGCCAGGGGAACAGTGTGCCTGCAAGGAGGAGACCATGCCGTCCCAGTGAAACAACAACTCTAATGGCGGCAGCTAGGACAGGAGATTTTCAGCCCAGGTGCTGGCCTCAGGAAAGGCTATCCCACAGGGTGTGGCTTCCTAATAGAAAGGGGCCAGAGGGCTGCACTCAGCAGCCAGCTGCCTGGGCCCTCTGCTTTCCTGTAAGGCATTGTATAGAACTCCAGAAATTGCTTGAACAGTGTGGCATGAAGAAGAGGAAGAGATCCCTCCCACTGCAGAGAGAGGACTGAAGCCGCCAGCAGGGCAGATTAGGTGTCCCAGCACCAGAGCTGTTGGTAGGGCAAAATGAGACTCCAGCTGCTGGAGCTGCTGGTGGGGCAGAAGGGAAATCCAACAGTCAGAGCTGCCAGTTGGGTGAATCAGAGATATTTGACCTGCTCTGAAGAGAGCTGGGATAGCACTCAAGGAGCTGCCCCAGCTTTACTGAGATCAGCTGTATGGAGGACCTGTGTGGGTTCTGAGGTGTGGGTGCCCCAGGACCCTGCAGAGTGGGTCATCTGCCTATTTATTGCTTTGTGCATTTTTGAGTTTTTTATTGCTAAATGGGTGTGCATCTCCCTGGTTTGCACTGGGGACATAAACCAGCAAAAGATGGGATTTGTGTCTGCATTATGGAGAGTTTCAACTGAATGTCCTGTGAGATCAGCCAAACAGATCTTGGAAAGAAGGGGCAAAGCACACTTACCTCTTCCACAGACTAGGAGCACCACCCCCAACAGGAAAGGGGCTGGTTCAGCTCACTGAAGCCCCAGATGTCTCCAGAAGGGCACAGTCCTGAGGGGGAAGGGATAACAACTCACAGGACAACAAAAAAAGAATAATACTCTCAGGGATTATAGTTTGGGAAGTGGAGGAAAAGCTTAAAACCTCTTCTGGGGGATGGGCAGTCAACACGCTCACCAGAATCTTTTTAATCAAACCCACTGAACCCAGGCTGCTGAAAATTCCCATACAAAATAGACAACAGACTGAATTCAATCTGCACTTGCAGCAGGCCATTGCATGGGGAACTAAAATTGGAGGATATGGGAGAGACTGAGGAGTTGGCTTTGAAGCAGAGAATAGTGTCCCCACAGTGAGTGCCTAACAGAGAAACCTCAAAGTAAGGGGAGCAATAACC